TTTATATTATATTATATTTTTATATTATTTATATAAATATTTGATAAAGATTCATACACAAGTAACATTTGATAAAAAAATTTCTTTCTGTTTAGAAAAAGATTAGATATGTTTCTATCATTTTTGTATATAATTTAAATTACCATTACTTTAACATTATTCGTATCAGTCTTTTCAGACACATAGTTTTTATATTATAGTGATTTCATAAAATTGATAAAAAATTATTCACAAATTAATAATCAAAATAGCAATTTATAATATACATGGTAAAATTAGAAACTTATAATAAAATTAAAGTATGTATTGATGCAAAAGATTGCTCATAGGCCACACATATTAAGAAAATGAATTAAAACTACACGCATAATATATTATTCCAGTATCATTTATAGATACATATTCAATTTTCACATACATTATACTTGATTAAATTTGATGTTCGTTTTTTTATTTTTTAACAATATACTATATTAATACACACACATACAGGCACACAATACATCCATAATAAGTATATTAATCGACAGACTTTTACAGTGACAATTTGGTAATATTTTCTTTGAGGCACACGCGTACAAGAGGCTTTGAAATCTCTTTACATAAATTCTACATTATTTTTTTTTTTAACAAAAACAAAATATGTAATCAAATCTTATTAAAAATTCGACAATTAACAAACAGTGCAAAAGTGAAAGTATAAAATTTCAAACTTTAAACAAATACAATTTTAAATAAAATTAATTTGTTATTTTTTACTATGTTTATAATAAAAAATTAAAAAAAAATGTTTATAACCAGAATTTTTTAATAAACATTATTATAACGCATTGTGTTATCCTATAAATATAGCAATACATTTCTATATTATTATAAAATAATTAATATATATTTTATGTATTAATATATATTTTAACATATATTTTGCAAATATAATATATATATATATATAATATATATATATATATAAATATAATATAAATATATATATAACATATGAAATACACAGAAGACAATGCAATAGAAGACTACTTTAAGAAATATCTATTGTATCAATGTCTCTTCCGTGTTATGCCTGATATGTGTTAATTCTGATATATAAGTCACTTTTTCATATTGAATAATATTAATATATGCAAAATATTATTCAAATCATAATTGTGTTCTTTATATATGTTCATAAAATTGTATATTTTAGGAACCAAAACAACGTGTTCGAATGAAAATGTATGGCCCATTGTATAATAAAATTATAAGATATATATTTCTATAAATTGAAATATTTATAATTTTAGAATCACTAAATTTTTCTTTTTTTTTTTTAATTTCTCACAACCAGTAACGCATATCAAGATCCCAAATTTATTTCCTCTGAGAGAAGCATTATACTCTCTTAAAATGGTAAATTTAATTAAATTCTCGAGTTCTCTCGTGAAATATCAAGAGCTTAGAGAGAAACAGAACTGTTATTTCACTATTTGAGTACATTCAAAAGTAATTGAAAATGCATGCCATATGAGTTACCCTTGCTCCAATCGTGTTGCAGCTATTTGATTCCCTAAATTAATAGTTTGCGGGGAGAATATTGCCTGCCTGTTTTGTGGCGCAGCGGTATAAGTCACAAGCTGTTGTGGACCATTAATACCGCTGTTATTAACGTCTTCAACAACTAACTGAACCCGTTGCCCGCCTACAGTGCAGAGTCTCGGTGGTACTTCCTCAAATGTAAAAGTACCACTGGGATTTGTCACAACATTGAAATATTGTGCCATATTATTCAACACTTAACCGTTGGCAATTATGATCTTTTCTCATTTAATAAAGATCAAGATTAGATTGTCGTTAATAGTGAGTTAGACCAATCCGTCAATATCATGTCTGCTAGAATTTGTGCAGTAAAACCTACGGAAAATAATTACGAATTACGTTTGATTTTCGCGATTATATATATTTCGCGTATCATTTTAAATATAATATAATTTCTAATATTTGTTCACAAGAGTAGTAAACAAAACTAAAATTATTCAAAAAATAATGAAAATAAAAAATGGAATTTTAAACGTAAATCTAATAGTGTATACTCGGCAATGTGTAAGATGTTATGAATACAATGTTGTAAAGGTAAACTCTTAAAATACACCACAAACTTTATCATGTAGAAAATTATATCTATAAAATTATTATTCGTAGCTTTGTAACTAAAATTTGACTGCATTTAATTTTATTAAGCAAATATTTTATGTAATACATGTTTTCCTTCTAAATAAAGCATAAAGATCTTCAATGTCTCTCAAAGATAAACTCTTTCTTTAATGGAAAATATAAAAAATATAAATTTTGACATTTAATGGAAATATTGTTCAATTTTTAAAGTAGTCTCCTATAGAAATTAATTTCCCTCGCAAGAAATTCTAAGGACAAAAATTCTATTAATTGCAAAGAAACATAGTATATACAATATGCCTGTATTACTCTAGCACTCATCTGGATATTTTGTTCTATTATAATTATAAATTTTTGTACAACATGTGCTTCAAAGACTTTGTACCATTATTAAAAAAAAAAAAAATTAATAGAAATATGATCATGTATATGTTTTAGTCTAGTTATACAATGTGTTGATTTGTTCATAAACAAACGTTTTACAAATTATAACAGCATGCAATAGAAGATACATACGAAATAATTAGATGATAAAACGTGATATATTGTGAAAAAAACTTTTTATGTGAAAAAAGCAATAACTATAATGGAAATAAATGTATATACCATAAAATTTTCTTTAGATTGTCAAATTGTACTTATATACAAAATGCCTGACTGTTGAGGCAACTATTAAGGACTATTCTTTGACAAATTTCAGGAGTCTGTATATTACTAATTCACATTTTGAAAAATAATTTTTCACAATTATTACTATTATATA